CGATTCGTGTCCAGTGGTAACTCGTCGAGTGAAAGGCTAGCTCGACGAGTCGAGTGAGGCCTTAAGAGGATTCTGAGAACACGCATGGACTCGTCGAGTCACCCGAGGGCACTCGATGAGTCTGGTCAAAATTTGACCGTTAACTAGAGTTGACTTCAGTTGACCTAAGGGTTTTCGTCAAGCTGATTTAAGAGAGGTCAGGGTAGGGTAGAATAGTCTTCTACCCATTCTTTAGAGATGAGGACAAGAGAAAGTATTGATTAGAGATGTTATCATTTTGATAGGGGAGGCTAGGTCGGGTTATCGAGCACGAGAGGATATCCGACATCATCCGAGGTGAGTCTTCTCACTATACATTACCTTGAGTGATAGTTATGTGTGACTGGAAGGTCTTATGTGCTTACATTAAGTATTATGTTATCCTGTTGTATGTGACATGCTATGCATTATGTCTTTGTGATTTATGCTATGCGGAGTTTATAGACCGGACCGAAGGGTCCAACAATATAGACCGGACCGGAGGGTCCAACGATATAGACCAGACAGGAGGGTCCAACGAGTTACGGGACTGGAGGGTCTCACTGAGACACATCGACCGGAAGGTCTTACTGAGATATAGCCTCGAGTGGCGTATGTGTTGTATGTGGTATTTTGGGGAACTCACTAAGCTTCGTGCATACCGTGTTATATGTTATGTGTTTCAGCTTTTCTTAGTATCTCGGGACGGCATCAGCTTGATTGTACACACTAGAGAAAGAATTATATTTTGAGGATGCTGGATTATTGAGTAATTAATAAGGGATTATGTTTTGTAAGCCAATAAACGAGTTTTACGAAATGTGATATGATAGTTATATGATTTTAAATGAAAATTTTGTTTTGAAATTTGCATCATTACAAGTTGGTATCAAAGCCATGGTTTGAGGGATTCAGATGCACCTCCGGGTAAATCTGGACTTAAATTGAGAATTTTAGAAAAAATTTCAAAAGAAATGATTTTCTAAAACCAAGAAAGAGTTTCTAAGAGAACAATGAGAAGGAGAAGTCTGTACATTCAGCCATAGTCCGAATGGAGATTTCCCAAAATACCCTTACGTTTGTGTTATGAGATATGTTATGAGATATTATGCATGCTAGAGATAGGCTTGATATTTCATATTTTAGGACTAGAGTGACCTGATCTGTGATGCCTTAGCCTAAGAGTTGTTGTTAGTTCAGATCGTCACCGATCCACGTAAATCTTTTGGCAACTCTGGGCTATCAGTACCTCTTTCTACCCTGTTGAATCTCCTTGGTCGTCTTCAACAGTACCTCTTTCGTAAGAAAACTCAGCCAAGCGTAAGTTTCCCAACTTCCTCTGATGTCCATAACACATGCACACAGCATGTATTGATTCATTTGAATCGTCCGCTCGCTCTGCCCATCTTTCTACAGATGGAATGCGGTACTGAAATGTAACCAGGTAGCCAACTCCTCATGAAATTTCTTCTAGAACCTGGAAGTAAAGCGCACGTATCGATCTAACACTATTGAGGTCGGAACTCCATGTCGAGCTACCACCTCTTTCATATAAATCTCAGCCAATCTCTCTGCAGAAAAGCTCTCACTGATAACGAGTAAGTGAGCACTCTTATTCCATACGAATGGGCCGAACCTCACCTAGGAAACAGAGAGTGACATGATGTATCGCTACCCACATCTGTTTTTCGAAGCGTGATTCCAGGACAGAATCATCCTAAGGATGAGAAAATTGTAACGCCCGTGTTCCCATGGTTAAGCGTTAATATAATGGTGTAATAGTTAGCGTCAATAATTATAACCTACTTTGAAGTAATAAATAGCAATTATTTGAATATTATGTGATTTTCTATGCATTATACTTAATTATAAGATAAAATAATTTAAGAATAAAAAACAAGGATTCCGGAGATATAAAGAACGCCGAAATCCGAGTTATAACGAAGAAGATGACCTGTCGAAGTTTCCACTACTACAAAACAGCCCTTTAATGACACACAAACAATGACACGTGGTGATTTACGATACGAAAAAGCGTGTGCCCTAAAAATAATGTCATCTCTTCTAAAGTTTGAAGGATAGAGGATACGCTTTTGTGTCTGCCCTAAAATTAATGTCCAACAAAAAAAATTAAAAACACGGAGGGCACTTATTTAAAAATGGGTGTCGTCTAGAAATGTCGCTTTATATTTTTATAATGAAAGGCGCATTCTCTTCTTTTGCAGCTGGGGGGAATCGAAAATCCCAAAAGTTTGAAAGGACGCCATTGTTATCCTCTACCTTATTTCCATCGTTCTTCTCTCTCTCTCTCTCTCTCTCTCTCTCTCTCTCTCGTTACCTATATGTCCAAGAAAACTATTTTGGTCCACGTCAATGAGGTTTTTCCTCGTCCAATAGAAAGATTGGTGGTGGCCATTTTTAACTTATACGACCACACCTTCTCTCGTAGTCGTCTCAATCGATAAGAACAAGACTTCCAAGAGGTTCCCCAACACTACTTGATAAATTGTGCTTGGTTTTAAGAGCCATGAAATGTGCCTTGTAGCCTCTACTTCCTTTTGGCGAGTCACTCTCTGTCAAGAGCTCCAACCACCGCCACATGAGACTTCAAAGTGGGTTTTTCTTCTAGCCTTTCCACCAACTACTTGGTCCGACCATCTTCTGGACTTCGCTTCCGTTCTAGGTTTTGTTTCTCGTTTTCTCTTGAACACCGTATGATTCATCTTTATTATCTTTTCCTTTTACATGATTTAAAAGAACGAAGATTGTACATTCCACTTCATTTGATTCTTGCCTCTTTTCAACAAAAATTAGAGTTTCAATTTGGAATCCAGTTCATGAGGTCTGCTTAGATATTGGTCGTATTTCGTATTTAACTTTCAATTTTTCAACCTTTTTCACTGTAATCCATCTTCTAGCATTCTCTTCAATTGAATATATGTTGAAGCCCTATGTTTATTCTCTTTTCTTCATCATATCTGGAATTGATCCAGGTAAAGGGCTAGAACCCTAATTTCATTTCTAACTCTATATTTTGAAAGTTTTTGTAATCAGATGTTGCACCTATTAGTTCATCTCTTCTCTTCCAAATATTAGTTTAGTTTGTGTTTTTGTTATGTGATTTTGGTAAAACTTTCTCATTTTATGTACCTACTTATCTTATTAAACTATAGCCATATTTCTATATAATATTTGTATGTTTTTTGGAAGCAGTTATCATGTTAGCTAATTGGAGATTTGGGTACGTCTTAAGAGAGGATAAGACAAGATAAAACCTTGAATTTAAGGTTCAGGGGAGGATAAAACAAATATTTCTAAATAATATTTGCTTGTTTGTTTTTTTGGAAATAGTTATCATGTTAGCTAATTGGAAATCATAACCAAAAGGCTTCAGGTTTTTCTGTCTCTTTATTTATGAGATGCTTTTCCTTGATTTGGGCATCTTTGTGTTCAAGTCTATTTGGGTGGTTATAAATTAAAATTACATAACTTATTTCACCACAGGAGCTTCAGGTTCTTTTATTTATTGACTTACTCAAGAACTGGCCTAAGAGGAGTACTCAAGCTTATTGTGGTGACAGATGGTGAACGTATCTTGGGACTTGGAGATCCTTTGTGTCAGGTAACATAATAAAAATTTTCTTTCCTTGATGATTACTTTCAATTGTCTCTATTAATCGTTTTCAAATTCTCGAATCAGCAATCAAGGTATGATTTTGATTTCATTTTTTATGATCCATTTGACTTCTTATTCAGGATAAGATTTCCATTTCCCCAAACATTTTTGTATACAGCGATTTTAGGTGGTTTGTCTATTTGATTCTGCCTTTTTTATCGTTTTCCATAAGGTATTCTTCTTCGTACATGGAATTTTTTAATTTTGTAATGATGAGAGTGAATGGGTTCTTTATAATGAATGAAAATTTTCATATATTTCCGTTTGACATTTCTCTTTGGTCCACAATCATCAATTATGTAGTTTTAATAAATTTACCCTAATTTTTCCATCAAATTTATTTGGGTCGATAACTCCCCAAAACTTGTAAAACTCTGGTTCTGAGAGGCATTGGATATATAGATAGGATAAAGGGAATTTTATCTAGATATATTCACTAATCACAATCCTCAAGCCAATCAAAGAAAGAGTTCAATTTGTTCATTTTTCTCATGTTCGTGATGTTTTTCTTCTAAGCAATAAGTCAAAATATGGTTGATGTTTTTGTATTAAACAAAAGATCGTTAATGGATGAAGTTTTATAAATGTATCATTGCTTAATTGTAGATTATGTTATGTTTACAAGCCTCACAATCTTGGCCAGTATGATTATGTTTGAGTTTATTATAGAAACAAAATATTAGAAAACTTTTCCTTTTTTTCCATATTTTGAAGTGTTATGATCATGGTACTCTTAAAGTGCTTTCAAAAATGAATTAATCAGAATGACTCAGTCAATATTGCCTGCTTCATGATCAGGTGCCTCTCTTGATCTTGTCTATTTTTTCTATCAATCAATCTGAGGTTATCAATCTTTTGGGTATGGTGCAATTAGTCAACTTTATTCATGTTTGGGATCTGTGTGTCTATGTGTATAATGTCTGAGTGCTTTTATATAGTTGGCTGAAAAGAAAATCTTGAAAATAAAATCTATATAATTCTTTCTCTTCTTCCATGCCATAATCTCATAATTGAAAATAGCATATTTGACAACTTTCCCACAAATAAATGCTACTTCTTACAATATATAACTTGTATCTTGACTGTAGAAAGTTTGTACAAACCCAAATCCTGGTATTCTTGCAAAAACATTGTGAACCTTAGGTTCCACAAGAACATTCATGCTCTCTTGCTTTAATCGAGCTAAATACAAGAAATATTTATGTACTGTCATTTTCATATATTGGTGTATTATATTTAAAAGTTATAAAATAATAATATAATATAATATAATATCCCTTGATGCCATGCTCACACTGTGCTGGAAATGAACTACACTGACAAGCAACTGACAACAGCTGTTAGGTTTAAAGGGTTAAGACCCGGTTTTGCAGGGACGGAATCAGGTGCACCACCAAGATTACTATCTCTAGTACAAAGCTGTTGGGATGTTGACATGGACAATAGGCCTTCATTTGATGATATCATCTCCAAACTTGATCTCAGCATGGTTTTGCCTTGTTTCCTATAATAGGCCTCTAAAATATTCTCCTGTTCTTATGTCTTTGCCTGGTAATTTGTTTTTGGTTATAAAATTACACAATTTACCATTTTACCCTTGCAAGATATGCTTATATTTACTTCCTAATTGGATGTGATACTTTGTGTAGGGTTGGAAGGAACTAGAACGGGCATTGTTATACATGAGAAAGCTATTGGAAAGTGAGTTGAACTTGATCTTCATCTTCTCTTTGAACATTCTTTCTTATAATCTTTTGTTTTATAAAATCTTTAATAGGAGTATGTAAATGTTTGCTTAAATTTTATACAATGACAGGGTTTTTTCATGTTCAATGCTTGCATATTCCTTCTAATGATCGAATACCATTTGAAGGTTATCATCTTCTCTTGTATTTATATTATGTTAAAACTTCAAGGAAGCAAATGAGAGAGTAAATGACCATTTTACCCTTATATTTGCATGATGGGTTGATTAAAATTGTGGAAGAAAGTGTAAAGATTGAACAAAATTTGTCCCTAAATAAGTCGATTTATATTCTTGGGGAATCTTTTGGAGCAATACTAGTACTTGCAGTTGCTTCTCATAACCCTACAATTGACTTAATACTCATTCTAGCAAACTCTAGTTTATTATTCTTTGTGTTCCTTGTCACAATTTCTTTTACTTTTTCAGTGATTTCGATTTTATAATGCTATTTTTTTCATTTCAGCTACTGCTTATGAGAGATCATCACTGCATCCATTAGTAGGGTTCATGAAGACTCTTCCTATTGAACATTATGGATCATTTCCTTAGGTGATGTTGATGGTTTAGCACCAGTAAGATATAATATAAATTCTAAATTATCTATTTCTTTTATCATCTGGGATTTCGTTTCTTTTTATTTACTCCAAGAATCTCAGCTCGAGCAGCTAATAATCCATGCTTCAAGTAATTGTAGGATGATACAAGAAAACTAAGTAAAAACTCTCTCTATATGTATGTGTGTGAAAAAGGATGAGGTAAACCTATGAACATAAAGGTAATATTTGGTTCCCATGAGAAACATTTCTTTTACATATTCATCCTCTCCATTTAATATTCTCGGAGCCTTTGCAGCATCTGCCTCTAAAATAGCATATGCCATTTGTACTGATCCACCACCAAGATTAACCACCCCAGCAATGTGTGAATATTTATGACCTAATCTTTTCAATAGATAATTTATAGTCACCTGTAGGTATGATTATGAATGCGCGATCAAACATAATTAGGCAATAGGCTTAAAGATTATGGTAAGAATACATTATACATCCATTTGGGAGAATGTAAAAAGTATGAAGTAGGACGCTTATCCATTGAGAAGCACCTTCTTGAGTTCCATCAAGAATATTTACCTAATCATCACTGTACTTTAGGTTGCTCTTAACTTTCAGAAAATCCTTCACCTATATGAACATAAATTCTAATAGAGATTAATATAAGCATATAATTTTACAAAATACAAAAGTATTACTAGAGAAATACAAACCACTAACCCCAACATTAACTAGTGTATTTTAGAGCTTATTTGCTGGAATAGCAACTTCGGCTTTCTATAAAAGAGGCAGAAGGGAATCTGCAGCTCCTTTAGGGTCGCTTGAAAATGCACTAAGACCCGGTTTCAGCTACATTATAAAACTATAAATTGAAATATTTGTACTATTCTTATAGCAGGAAAAACAACTTCTGCTTTCTGTAAAAAATTGCTATTGTTGAATAGAAGGTAAGGGTATTTATGTATTTTCACCAATCTTGTTGCATATTCTTAACTTATCCAAATTTGGCAGGTTGATCCTGCTACATGGCCAATATTGATCTTTAGGGTCTGCTAGGAGAATTGGAGATTGCAGTTAAGTTTCTATCTAAGACTTCATGCCAAGGACTTGATGAATTTAAGCTAGCAATGTTTTACTTGATTTTGACATGAACCCTAAGATATCATACTTTGGCATGGCAAGAAGCTTTGGAGGAAACGAGACTCAAGCAAAAGCAAACACACAGAGAGTTGTTGGCACATAGTAAGCTAGATAATGCAATTCTATATAAATTTTGCTTCTCTTGAGTTCATTTTTTTATAACATTTACTCACTATTGGAATAATTATTTGTATTTGACATATTAGTGAAATGAATTATCATTGTTATTTATGGTATTTTATTTTGTATTATGAGATTTTTAATGTGTTATTTAATTTGAAAATTAGTAAATCTATCAAAACATATAATCTTTTAAACATTTAACTTTATGACACGCAAAATGTGTGTCATCTTCATTTATGACAGGGGCTTTAATGATACACAATGCATGTCCTAAACGTGCGTCGTAAGGTGACGACATGCAAATGCGTGTCGTCTTCGTTTATGACAAGGCCTTCCTTGATACACATTGTGTGTCGTAAATGAGCGTCGTAAATGCGTGTTATAACTACGCGTCATCTATAGACGACACGCAAAAGTGTGTTGTCTCTCATTCTGGTTATGAGCGGGCCTTCCTTGACACACATTTGCATGTCATCTTAGCGTTTTACGACATGCATTGCGCATCCTTAAAGGCTGTTTTTCTAGTAGTGTTCACGTCAAAACAGGCACGACATCGGGAATCGTAAAAAGTAAGTTTATGATAAACTTCTTTTTAGCCTTAGACGTTTAAACAAAAGTTGTAGAGTACATCTCCACCTACGCGTGGATCTAAAGAACGTCAAAAACGGAGTTCGTATGTAAAAGTTATGACCTTCGGAAGATACAACTGTCTAAGGGCATGACATGTGAAAGAAACCATAGCCGCCTTAAGTCACGACGTGAAACGTTTCAGGGACACTAATTGGGGCTAGAGCATGTGCTAAAGCTACGGGATGACTCATGGAAGTTCACAACGTGAACCTATCATGTTCACGACGTGAATGGTACCAGAACACCCTATAAATAGCGATCAAGGCTCATTCAATCCTTACACCTTCTACTTTCATTCTCTCTCGTTTTTCGAAGACCGTTTCCCTTCCCCAGCCCGAAGATCACGAACCATCGACCATTTCTAGTTAGATTCTATCAAATCATGCTACTAAAGTGAGTGCATATTTATTTTTATCTTACGCATAGATATGAAGTATTTTATATAAATTACATGCTATTTGTGCATATTGTCTATATACTTGTTCTCTATGTTAGATGAAAACTTTTATACATGTTTTAAATGATTAAAACTGTATATGTATTTTATATCTACAAATATCTTGGGGTAAAATATGGGTAGATGAAATAGTTGGTGTGTGATAAAATGATGACAGGCCTCGATGTTCTTGTTGATCCAGTCATCTAGTAGAGTATAGATGACGACCACAAATTATTCTAGATAGTCAAGTGGAACACTAGCAGGCCTGCAACCTATAGGAGTTTGTAAGCGATGTGTTCACTAGTGTACTCTATTCCCCTCATGGTTGCCTTACGAAAATTTATTGTTGAGGAAACCCCTTAGTAGTAGTGTCAATCCCGATGATAATCCTTAGGCTAGGTCACACAATCGGTCGCTCAATTTAATTCAGGCTCACATCCAACTGAATGTCCTCTAGTGGTACCATTGTCGTCTCATTGGCTACACACTTCCTCAGCTGAGACATATGGAAGGTGTTATGAATCTGACTCAACTCCATAGGTAGCTCCAAACGGTACGCTAACCTACCCACCCTGGTGGTCAACTTGAAAGGACCGATGTATCGGGGCCCAAGCTTGCCCCGTTTCCTAAATCGAATCACCCTTTTCCAATGGGATACCTTCAGGAGTATAAAATCGTTGACCTGGAACTCTAGCTCGGATTGTCGCCTATCTACAAAACTCTTCTAGCGACTCTGGGCCGTCAGTAACCTCTGCCTGACCTGTTGTATCTGCTCAGTCATCTTCAGCACTATCTCAGTGCCACCCATCACTCGCAGCCCCACCTCTCCCCAACAAATGGGAGTCCAATACTTTCTCCTATAAAGGAAGCTCGAAGGGAGGCATACCAATACTCGAATGATAGTTATTGTTGTAAGAAAAATCAGCCAAAGAGATGAGTGTCCCAACTTCCCTCGGAATCCATGACACATACACGCAGCATGTCTTTAAGCGTCTGAATCATCCTCTTGCTCTTCCCGTCTGTCTGCGGATGGTATGCGGTACGAAAGTGTAACTGGGTACCCAACTCCTCATGAAATTTCTTCTAGAATCTGGAAGTGAAACACACGTATCGATCTGACACTATCAAGGTCGGCACTCCTTGTCGATCTACCACTTGCTTGACATAAATCTCGTTCAATTTTCCTACAGAAGAGCTCTCGCTAATGGCAAGGAAATGAGCGCTCTTCATCAGCCGATCTATAATCACCCAAATTGCATCAATGCCACGTGCAGTCCTCGACAACTTGGTGATAAAGTCCACAGAGATCTATTCCCACCTCCACTGGGGAATCTCCAGAGGATGCAATGGACCATGAGGATGTTGGTGCTCGGCCTTAACCTGACGACAGGTCAAGGAACTCTCAACTACCCAAGCCACGTCCCTGTTCATATAGGGCCACCAATAATCTCTCTTCAGCTCCAAGTACATCTTAGTGGCTCCTGGATGGATCGAGAATCTCGATCTATGTGCCTCCTCCATCAAAATACGGAGAGCTCTGCCAGTGCAGGGCACCCAAATCCACCCCTGGAAAGTCATAAGCCCTGGACTATCACGCAAAAACTCGGACACTTCCACAATCACCCGCTCCCTCTTGCGATTCTCCGGTCTCGTGGCCTCCACCTGGGCCTCTCGAATGGTATCTAAAACTAGAGTCATCACTATCATCCTCATGCACACATCTCGGATCAGAGCACTCTCTACTCTATGGCTCAGGATGTCGGCTACCACATTAGCCGTGTCCGGATGGTACAAGATCTCGCAGTCATAATATTTCACCACATCCAACCACCTCCTCTGTCTCATGTTTTGGTTGGGCTGATCCATAACTTACTTCAGGCTCTTGTGGTCAGTGTAGATGGTACACCTAACACCATAAAGATAGTGGCACCAAATCTTGAATGGAAACACCACCGCCCCTAACTCTAAATCTTGTGTGGGATACCTAGTCTCGTGAAGCTTCAGCTGCCTTGATGCATATGCAATCACGTGACCCCTCTACATCGACACTGCACCCATCCCTAAGATAGATGCATCACAACACACTATAAAGTCCTCTACTCCCTCCGGAAGGGCTAACACCGGAGCTTCGCACAATCTCTAGCGAAGGGTCTCGAAAGATGACTACTGCTCAGGCTCCCAAACATAACTAACGCCCTCCTGGGTCAACATGGTGAGAGGATCCGCAGTCTTGGAGAAATCCCGGATAAATCTCCGATAGTAACCGGCCAATCCTAGAAAACTCCGGATCTCGGAAGGGGATCTCGACACCTCTCATCGCATAACTGTCTCAATCTTGGCCAGATCGACCAATGTCCCGCCCTGATTAACGAGATATCCCAGATACTAGACCTCTCGTAGCCAGAAATCACACTTGGAAAATTTGGCATACAGCCTCTCCGACCTCAAAACCCCAAGAACCTCTTGTAAATGCTCCTCGTGCTGCTCCTTGGATCTCGAATACACTAAGATATCATCAATGAACACAATTACTGACCGGTCCAACATAATCCTACTGTTAGGTCCTGAAAATGAATCTTTACCAATGATCAATCAATCACACAATCAATGTAATGAGAAAGAGAGTAGAAAACATAATTAAAACAAGCTTTGCACACGATTATATT